CCGGCACGAGCTTTGCCAGCAGGTCGGGCGCAAAGCCAGTTAGAGCAAAGGAAGGCCCTCCGAGCAATGGCCAGACAACATAGACCAGGTAGCCGTGGCCGGCAGGAATTAGGCCGCAGGCCACCCCGTACAACATCGACAAGACCTTACGGCACTATGGTGCTGCCACACAACGATGCACGTGCATACCTCGCCTACGCCTGGGCGCTGCAACCACTGGGGAGCGGACAATTGAAGGGATCCAAACACCACGCATGTCCCCAAAGCGATCCACCAGTTTTGGCACGGCCAAGGTGGTCAACCACGTAGCAGCCCCTGCCAGAACGGTGTGCGTCATCATCCTCAGCATCGAAGGCATCGACGAGCCACGTCTTTTTTCAATCGCCGAGAGTCGTGAAGGTGTCAAACTCGAAGCGCTGATAGAAAGACATGTAGACAGATCCTCCCCCAGCAGCGATCCTCAGGTCCATCTCAGAGCAATAGCAAGCATGGCCAAAAGGCACACAATGCACATGACCACTGAAAGCCTAAAGCCGAAAGGCACGTAGCCCAAGGTCCGGATGGACATCAGGAGCCGAAGCTCGTGCGTGGCGAAGACACGAAGATTATTCCAGGGCTGAATGACCTCTCTGACAAGTTGAGGCATCACCCAAAAAGAAGCCTTGAGCACGCTGACTCCAGATCGCCGGGCAGGGCTTCCATGAGTTTCATGCCTACGGCCGACGGTTCATATGCAAGGCACTCGCCAGTTTTCCATCACCAGCTTTCGGGTGCTTGTGCGGAGCTCCGGCTTGATTGTCTCGGGGAAAGCCACTGCCACGAGGATAGTTTCGAGCGACAAGGCAACTGACCTTAGCGTGCACTGGACTTGCAAGATCTGGCAAGATTGCGCGACCAAAGACCATGTTCGCGGAGTTCAGCTGAGGCAAGTGCCCCATCAGCATCATTAGCCGCAAGCTGCCATCAATGGCCCATGGCCCATCCCAGCTGAAATGCCCCGGCTGGATGCAGTGATGCGCCCCGCAATGTTCCTGCAAGACGGCGTGCAAAGTGCGTCGGAATCACATGCATCGTGCTGTTGAGCACAGGGCCTTGTGTACAGTGTACTCGTTTGGAAGTCCAATTCCAACTTCCCCGAGTTTAATAATGGCCATCCTCAGCAAGGCAAGCCAAGCTGAAGCATGGTCATTGTGGGGTGCATGATGAAGAGCGCCAAATAATGCCCTGGCTCCCAATCGCCATCGCAAGAGCAAAGCCCATCTGGCCCACGATGGCCAAGCGCGCTTTTAGGCCTGTTACACCACCATGTTTCAATTCCCACTCGTCTGCAGAGAAGATGTCGCGCAGCATGGCGTCTCGAATAGGGCCGCCAACGTCTGAAACCAACGCCAGCACCTGGCTACGGTCAATCATCGGCACTAGCCACAGGCGATTTCTCCCATGTCTGCACATGTTTGATGCCCTCTCTGTCCTCCAACCCATTACATGCTCGGGGGTACAGGTGCGCATGCGTCAAGGCTACCTCGAGCCTTGCTTACGTGCAGCTGGACCGCCGTGCATAGTGCATAGGCAGGGGATGGCAGGGTAGGAGTGCGTGTTGCGGTGTTGAGGTTTAAGGCTTTGCGGAAATCGAAGAAGCAGGGAACGCAGCGACTGCAAATGCATGATACGGATCTCGGGGCAGATGCCTTGGCATAACAGTCGGAAACTAAGGCTATTCTTTGAACGGCCTTCGTCAAGATGTAGATTTCCACAGAAGGCACCGCCGTCATCAACCAAGCCGAAACAGAGATGGCAATGCTCGAAGCCAGTATGAGCTTCTTCCTCGAGACCCTGTCTGACAATACCTGAGTCATCGCCATGGCAAGGTAGCCCTTCTGCTGTCCGAAATCCTCACAGGCTCAGGCCCCGACACCCAAGAAAGGAAACAGGAACGCCTGAACGGCAAATTGCGGAGAGCCGGTCAGAACCCGGAGAAGGTCGAGCTCGGCTAGGTCGTTCATCACCTGCTTCAGACTTTGGCTGCAAATAAGAGTGTGACGGTGACCTGCCCGGTCCGGGTCAGAGTACCACCGAAATCCTACGCAGCTACGTCTTTTAATGACTGCATCCTTGCTGCAGAATTAGCCAATGTGACAGGGAAGGAGACGACACTGTATTGATGATGCTTACACAATACGGACGAGAAGAATCCAGCAAATCCGATGCTTGGAGGCACTACGACGACCACTCGTACCATCTCTTCCCCGCCCGCTTGCTTGCAATGGGTGCGCCGCACAGCCCAAGCACATGGTACTGGCATGAAACTAAGCTCAGGTCCAGACATAGTAGCGTGTGTACTCCAAAGCAACGAAAGCCACCCAGCATCCGCCCATCACTCGTAGCACCAAGGAAATCAGAACGAGTCGGTAACACCATTTTGGTGTCATTCCAGTATACTCCGCAAATCGTGCTGCATGGGCATCCGCCTGGGCTCAAAACATATCACACTCCGACTCCTTTGCAGAAAGACGGAAGAATCTGCGAACACAACACGAAGCGTATAGCTGCAAGCATAATCAGAAAAATAGCTATTCAGCCCAGACGTCATCTCGGCAGGCTTCCGGACTCACCGCTTTTCTGCAGCCGTCATCCAACCTCTTGTCGCTACATGTCTGGACTCCATGACCCATCCCGCTCCACTCTTCTCAGTTTAGCCAAGCCAGGCGGCGTTGGTGGAATTTCCTTACCATCAGCGCCTGGAGCTTCTGAGATGTTGGCCTGGGTAGGGGGAACTGGCACAGGCCGTCAACTCACATGAATGCACCCCAATGACAAGAGGGTTGAGACCGAGTGTCAAAGATCTCGTCACGCTTTGTGACCGTCATGAAGCAGCTGTCTTCTTCTCTTATGCTGGCATACAATTCTATGCCTTGCCCTTGATCCAAAGGGCTGAGCGAACTGTCGTGTTAGCGCAGCATCAAGAAAACACAAGCACACTGCCGAGGCCGCATCCTCTTCCACGGCACTTCTCAGAGACTTATTTGTCCTGGAATGCGACTACTCGAAGAGCTCTTCCTGATGCAGTGTCCGGCGCGGCCTCTTGGCTTGCTTGATCTGGTTCTCCAGAAACTGCCGATCGTCCTCCAACGCCTGGAAGAGAAGGTGCTGTTTTGCACTCTTTTCTACTATCAGCAGCACACATCGAGCCAAGCCGACGTTGCAGGCACTGGGCGTTGAATTCATGTGCATTCCAGCAGGTGACGATTGCACGGTGCGAGAGACGAAGTAAGCCCCAATTGCAAGCAACTTGCACAGCAACGTCAGCGCAAGCGCCTCTGCTTTGCCCTTCCACTTGTCCAGCTCCTTCACCAGATCAGCTGCAGCATGGCAATAGATCTGCATGGCTCAAGCATTGGGAACCTTCTTGTACTTCTTGACCAGCTCATCCAAGCGCAAAGCCTTCAAAGTCGGCACAGATTCGGACAGGGTTTCTCGAAGCCCGGCGCCAGTCTGCCTCGTTCATGAACCAGTCAAGCTCCTTATAATGGTGCATGTCCGACGCATGTCGCCACCGACTGCCAGCATCGTTCTTCATGCTAAAAGTATCAGCAGTCCTTTTCCAGGGACTGGATCTTTGCATCCCTCCTCGTTTTTGTCTCCTCCTCATCTGCCTGATCCAAGTTCTCTCGAAGTCATGTCCGCACCCTGCACACACACACACACATGACACAAGACAAAGAACCAAAACAAGAAGCACACACGCAACAGAAACAAATCAACAATACAAACAGAACAAACAAACATGCGCACACACGCGCACACACACAAACACACGAGCGCGCGCACACACACACAAGCAAACAAATCCACACAGAAGCAAAGAAGCAAGCAAACAAACAGTCTTTCACAGCACGAGTCCTCCACTGATTGTGCGTGAAGCGCAATGTTGCAAGCTCAGGCTACACTCAAATGCAGCTGCTGGCTATGCCACCGCCAGCTTCAAGCAAGATCGTCCAAGATGCGTCCATGCTCTGGCGTGTCGGTCGAAGACTCCAAAATGTTTCAATGGTTCAACGACCCCATGGTGGTCGCAGCTCGCGGCTGTTGAAGCATGTGTGTCTCTATGCCGCCTGAAAGATAGAAGACATCATCGACCCTGTCCGCAACCCCGGGGTGGGGTAGTACCTAGAATCTCGCATCAGGAATCTTGGAGCCTTCTGCTTCAGTTCCTTGTACTCCTTTTGGACAGTGAACCTTCGTGCGATCAAGAAGAGACTTGTAGCCGTGCTTACCTGCTGCGGTTGCCAAGGCTGGCACATGAAGCTCTTGTAAGCCACGAAGTACGCCTGCAGCAGATTCTTGCTGGAGACCGGTGGCTGTGTGGATCTTCGCTTCAGCTAAGGTGGGCCTTTTCGTTCGCGCTGAGCTTACTCTCAACTCGTTCATCCAGCACATCCACAAGGGCCTGCGCAACGTCCACGGCTTGCAACTCACATGTGGAGGAATCCGAAACGCGTGGAACAACAAGACCAAACCCAATTTCTCCCAAAAGCCGAAGAACGGCAGGGCCCAGACTCAAATCAGCTCTTGCGACTCTTTTCAGCAAGATGCTGAGACATGCCGAGCCTGCAGATCCTGGTGAAGTCCCAGAATCTTGGTGCCCCCTTCCGTATCTACCAGAAGCTCCTGGAGAGCATCTCAAGGTGCCGGTGCCAGCAAGAATTTTTCGGACGCTGCCGATCCTACGAACTGGCACCGATCGATCGGCTACACTGCTGCGACGGCTATAGCATAGCAGGTGCCCTTGAGCTGCTTACGATCGAAATTCAACATTTCGTGCCTCTCGCTTTTTCTGTCTGTCCAGTGCTCGCTTTCTGTCAACATTCAAGGAAGACAGAAACCTCAAGCGATACGGATGAGTTGTCCAACTCTAAGCACTCAAGAGGACATCGAGGCCGCAGCGAACTTTCGGTGGGCACCAGTGCCATGGCTAAAGGCCCGGCCCAAGGCCCTAATCTTCATCTCAAAGGAGCCCACATCTTCCCAGAAAAGCACTCTGACTCTGGCGACGTAAGGTTCTTGTCTGTGTGCCTTTCTAGCTCTGAAGGCGCAGACCGGGGCGGACTTTTGGTGTCGGCTCTTAAACCATTCGGCCTTGCTGTGGAGCGCAAGGCACCACATGCAAGCATGCCCCTTGTGCACTCTGAAACTCGGATGACCAGATGGCGGTAACAGCTTTTTGACTCCTCCACTTGGTGGTTCCAGGAATCAGCTGACAGACTCAGGTCGGAGCCCTGCCCTAGGATGTTCTGTGCTCTGATCATCTTGACAGCCAACATGCTGCTAATACTAATGCTGGACCCGTAAGGAAGCATGTAGATGGCAGGTGTGCACCAGAATGCCTTGCTAGGTTGGAAGGAACCAGAGCAGCTGCCGACATCACATGTTTCAAAAGTGGCGGCCAGCCAGCCCTGCGCTGAATTGCTTGCACAATGTTCCCTTACCCGGCCTGGGCAACAGCGGCAACAGCTACTAGATTTGACACCGCTCTTACCTGGATTCCCACAGACACCCACCAGCGCCTCGTCTGCAGCTCGTAGCTCCCCCAATGGCACATCGCAAATGGCAGTCCGAAGCCTTTCTGAAAGCCCTCTGGTCACCTACTCTCTCCAGGCACTTCAGCAATCTAGGCCGCCGGCGCATGGGCAAATCTGTCCTCCTGCGTGCTTAGCCTTCATGGAGCTCAGACACGTGCCGCTGCGGCAGGGAGAGAAAGAGAGAGAGAGAGAGAGAGCACGGGATGCTTAGGCAAGGGGCTCATCCCGGTTGATGTCGAAGGAGCTGAAGATCCTGCAGCACAGATTGCATGCAGTGCTGTCAGGTCTTGAGCTGTTGCAAACCTGTCGCGGGTCGCAGCGGAGAAGTTCTGGCTGACGAAGGACCGGGCCTTTGCCTGCCAAACTCCTAAAGGCCCTCAAGATCCCTCAAGGCTCAAGGCCCTCTCCCTTCTGGGCGCCGCCTCGCTGAGGAAGTTGATCTTTCTCTGCGTGCGCCTCAGAGACGTCTCGCGCAGTGGGATGTTGCCGGTCCCAACTCCCCCACTCAGGGATCCACTCGCTGAGAAACGGCTTGAGGGTGGACCAGACAGCCTTGCCCCCACGGCCCACGGCAGACAAGAACATGATTTTAGCCAGTTTCGATGGCAGAAACGACAGTCAAAGGAGATAGACCGTTTCGTACCGGGCTGACATCAGGGCGGGGGTCCTGCGCCACCCACGAAAAATCCACAATGAGGATGCAGTTCAGACGATCCGCAAAAACCTTCAGCTGAACACGAAGCTCGGAATTCGCACAACGATTCGGCTGTGGTAAGCCGAGCTCTGCGCCACTCCAAAGTTGTTGGCTAGATCTTTAAAAGCGAAAAGATCCATGTTCAGCTGCGGCTGCAACCTGACCACAGCACATAGCGGAAGAGAGGGCAGAGCAAATCAACACAAGTCTAGTGTTCGATTGTGGGCTCGATGACTCTCTGTATTGATGAAAGCTGGATCACGCTTTTATGCGTCAATTACTCACGTCAAGATAGAATTAAGGCCGGGAGAGCCTCAACATCTGAGTGCACACTAGTGCCAGCACAGCACCCGAGGCCGTGGCTGGATCATGTCAGCAACCAGAATTGCCTGGCCGTCCTCCTGAGCAAGCCGCGTCGCTGCCTCAGCTTCCCGAGCCAGCCGGTACCTACATTTAAAATGATTAAAACTAAATCGGATGATCTGTTCCCCACAAACGCAACCCCGCCTCAAAGGCCAGGAAGACTTGTGGGATAAGAGCTCGCAGAGGCTCTGTCTGGCTCCGTGCACTAATGTAAATCGTCGGACGGTTCTGTCGATCCCGTCCAATGATCCTCATGTCACAAGCCGCCTTGCATCGCATGCACTGAAACAGTTCGCGTTCCCGAACACGACATTCGATGGCCTTCATCAACATTGGTGTGGCCTGTGCCAGATTTCCCTGGGATGCTCGTAGCATCCGCCGTACGGTGGAGAGTGAAGTCCACTCTTCCAGTTCTGGGAAGCCCACCTGAAGCTGCTTCTGCAGCTGCTCGTCGAGATCACCCTCCTCAACAGGGGCCCGCATGGTCTCAGTCTTGCATCGGGCGCTACGGACATTCAATCATGCCTCCATGCGACGCCGCCATTGGTCCAGCACCTCCTCCTTGAGCACAGGCACAAGGTCTTCATAGACCTCATGCATCGAAATCAAACGTATCGATGTCTTAACATCTGGACACGTTTCACGACCTTCTGGATTTTGTGTAGCTTCAAGCAAACATATCTTTCGCTATGACCCGTGACCCGGTGTACTAATCACGTCCGCATAACTCATCACTTCCTCATATCTGTCTGAGCTGCATCTTCTGGAAGAAGCGGCATGTCATCCCTGAACGTTGGTTCCGGCAGCTGGCGTATTGATGCCCTCTCGGCAAAGGTGCGGAAACCAGCCTGGCGCTTAGAGGTCATGAGAGGCTGACCAACGCCAGCCAATCTTAACAATGAGTTGTTCGTTCATCAGATGTCAGCCAGGATCTACTGCCGCGTGTCGAAAGCAACACCGAGATGGCATGCGTCGCGAAAAAGGCGCTGCTGGGACAATTTTCACAAACCAAGTAAACCTCTCGCCAAACAACCAGTGCGCAAATGCATAATTACTACTAAGTTGCTACACAATCCAGCTAAAATGGGAGGACTTTGTACTTACTACGGCCTCCGGCACCAAAGAAAGCGGGCGGTTGCGGGGCAATTCTCCACTGCCCCGGCGCTCCAGTGGCCATCTGCGTGGGCGATGTTCAGACTCGCCAGAGAACGTGCGCTGTAGCATCTCTTCCCGAGTCTCGTAGCAGTCAAAGAAGACTTGGAACTCTTCAGTCTCTGGAACATCCTGCCAAGAGTGGTGCCTGACAGGGGCACGCACGCATGCTCGCAACTTCCCAACACCCGGCAGAAGTGTTCGTGGCACCTGTTTTTCACAAGCAATGCAGCGGCTTCGTCCCCCCGCGTTGTGCAGCAGGCATAATTTGACACATCCCCAAGCGCGTTGCCCATAATGCGGCGCCAAGGATGCGACGATCTGCGTGCTCAATGCACTATCATAACAGGCAAGAACTTTTGAAAAATGGCTGAGCTGAGTGTTGCGAAGAGTAGCTGGGCTTGGAGTCCACATCAACAACGGCGTGCTGCTCCCCTATGTCCTAGACTTCGAAGGTGATGGGCCTACCTATGGCACACCAGACGGGCGTAAGTGATATGTCGTACCTGCAGCCACATGATGCGTGTTTAGCTTCTTCTGACATGTGGAGGCAGTATCTGGACACTTCAGGCTGAACCATTGCAGAAGCCCGTTTTAACGATCGCCAGAAGATTCATTGCGCCACAGTGGCATCGGTCTGACTACATGCAGCCTTCTTCATTGTGTTCCGGGGTAGAGAGTCGTGCGGTTGGGGTCCGTCAGAGCTTAGGAGTTTCGCATGCCTGCAGTCATCTTGCAATGCTGTTAAGGAACATCGAAGTGCCCGCATGGCAGAGGAGATGTTCGAAAGCCGATTATCCCACTTCTTGGCTTCAGGTGTTCTCTTACCGCACTGGCGTTTCAAGCGATGCAGGAAACCTGCTTGGATGCCATCGACTTGCTGGATTGCTTTCTGGCCCGCAGACTGCATGCCATTTCGCACAGACTCTTCAAGCTGAGTGTCGGCATTGTTGAGAGCAGTGAAGGACATCCAGAAGCGCTTCCTCACCATGAGCTGCAGCTCCCGCGAGACAGCATCAAGCCTACTGCCCCGCAGCCGCAACAGGCCATCCTGCAACTCCATGCGTGTGACCTTCCCATTGTGATCGTCATCAATCAGGCACGTTAAACGGGTTGTATCAGAAGGTAGCGCAATCTTCATGTCATCGAGCACTTCCCGTGCTGGGACGGATCGCAGAAGTTTCACATATTCCCCCTCAGACAGGTAGTTGCGCCTCTGTCTACTTGCAGTTTCAAACAAATCAGTAATCCTGTCTCTCAAGTCCTCAAGCTCGAAGTCCTTGTCGTCTGCGGACACGGGTGGCATCTGTCTGGCAAGTTCCATGACCCGTTCGCAGACGACACCAGTAACCAGGTTCAAGAGAGCGAAGTTGCTGAGGAAAATGAAGATGATCAAGTACACTGACCAATAGTCAGAGTCTTGCAGCATTGCCTCTGAAATCTCCGGCCATCCTTCAACCAACACCAACTTGATATGTGTAAGAAAACTCAAAGGAATTGTTCCAAAAAACGTCTGGAGCTCAGGGCTTGGTGAATTCCCTAGGGCCTCGGAACATAGGAGAGCCCCCACATAGGACAGAATTCCTAGCAGGATCATCGCATCCATGATGGTAATCAGCGTGCTCACCAAACCTTTGACCAAGAGGGCCAAGGCAGGCACTATTGCCAGAATGTGAACAAATCTTAGGACACGGAGGAGGCGAACTGTGCGAACAAGTCCAACCATTGCACCCGGCAGCGTAATGTCAGTTAGCTGGAGAACAATGTATCCTCCTGCGCTTAACAATAAAATGAAGTCCAACACCCCGAGGGCTGAGCGCATGAATTTTATGCCCACTGTACGAAGCCTCAGAAAAAATTCGACGGTGAATATGGTATATAGAAGGCAGTCCATGGTCAGGACGAAATAGAAAGCAAAGCCACCTCGTTCTCGAAGGGCGCCACCAGCAAGCTGACTCTGCTCTTCCTGGTCTAGCTGTGCAGCAAATTCCAGCTCGAGATCTATGCCCATTAGCAGCGCTTGCACGGTGATGGCTACTCCAATCACCAGGGATGCTTGGTCAGTCTGAATCCAAGCATTGCCTGCACGTCGAACCCGACGAACGAAGGTGTCGTGGATTCCGTCTAGCTTGATCCATTTAGGAGAACCGGTAACACCGGTCAACATCGATGAGGAGCCAGATCTCATTGTTCGAAGACTCGTTGGCTTCTTCGTCACATCTAGCTCCGGCACCACCATGTCAACTCCGTTCACGCCTTTCAAACCTCCAATCCTTCCTCGAAACATCTCTGTAGGAACACAGGAACTACAACGCGGGCTGAAGTCAAAGCGTAGCGCGCCCACTGCTTAGCAGTGGAGCTGAGCCGAAGGATAGACTGCAGAATAGCTACCTGATTCTGCTCGACAGCACGATTGACAAGTGATGGTACTCGACATTTTCGCGCTAATGTCCGATTCCCTACATGGTTCTCGAACAAGACCTGCACCACTCGCAGTTGCCAAAACACTAGAAGAGCCCAACCAAAAGCATCAGCATACTGGTCCGGGCATTGGCCCTTGTTTTGCCAACGCAGTGTCGGCAGCATCTGGACAAGTCTTTGGCCCATGGATGCCTGCATTAACCTGCAGCGATGCTTCCGTGCTCATCAGATGCAACAGATTTCGGAACCACTCCAGCTCGGTCAGTGTTGCAATACAGATTCAGCACAGCAGCTTCGTCCAAGAGCAGAAGCATTGCCTTCCAAGGCAAATCACAGTAGCTGTAAACCACTCCGACGGCCCAAGGTGCCAGGCCTGTCTTTCGGCATGCTGCGACCGATCATGCTCCACCAGGATTGGCGCCAAGCGCCTAACTAGCTACAAATATGCAATATGCAAGGCAGAAGGCATGAATGCATGGGCACTTAACCGCAATGCCGGACTGCACTTAAATGGGGCCTGAAATCGGGATCCGCTTCTCCAAAGGCACAGAGCCGGCCACGGAGCTTGAAATCGGAGACCTCAAACATCGCCACATCTGCTCCGTGCTTCTGCTTCTGCTGCTAAATGCACTGTCGAAGGACAAGCTGCGGGTGGGGGCATCTGTGGGCCGTGCCGCTGGGCTTTGAAGGCTGCAGCCCGACCTCAGAACTCGGCTACTCGCTGCTGCTGCTGCTGCTTCATTCGCTTCCTCGGGGGCCGGCCAGGCGGCAATGCCACGAGAAAAGACGGAGCCCCAGAAGGAAACCTGGAAAGCCAAGGAGAGCAGGGCCGCAGGGCCGCAGGCGAGGTCTCATGAGGAAGGCCTCCTCTTCACACAACTGCAGGGCAGACCGTGCCTGAAGAAAGGCCGGCGGGAGAAAGTTCCAAAAGATTGACGGGATTTGTGCCTGATGGGCTGCAGGTCTTCTCCAGGCGGCACCTCCACATGTAAGAAAGGCTTTCTTGAGAGAGCTTGTTCTTGAATGCTTAGAGCAGGCTCCGTCGGCCTGCTGGGAAGGACCGTGCCAGGACCTGACTCTAGCTTGATGGACGACGAGCAGCTGGAGGGACGCAGTCTGCAGAGGCTTCACATTATGTGACTCAGCCGTCCCGAATGCGTTGATGTCGACTTCGGCTACAGCTGCGAAAACGAATCGAGCCGATGAATCATAGCCTCCGAGGCAACAGCGTGCGGCAAATTGCAGGAATGATGGCAGTTGTGGCAGCGGTGGTGGTGGCAATGGCAGCAGCAGCAGCAGGAGTACAGCAGTAGAGTGGCAGTAGACACGGCTTCATTCTTGCGAGTGAGCTCGTGCCAGCCTCGTCCGTCAGCATACTGCCCATGCTGAAGTGCCTCTCGAGGACGGGGTCCTGAGATGTGTGCAGAAGAAGAAGTCACGGCATTCTCGGAAAAGACCGCAAAGGCTGCTGCGCGGAGAGCCTCATTTTCATGACCTGCAGCATCTAAACGGGGATACCGCGGAGAATCCGCTTTGCTGGGGAGGGGAGCCTTCTCTGCGTTCCGAGGCATCCATGAGACCTTGGAGACGCGGCCTCACATCCGACGGAAACGGAACTCTCCGAAGCACAGATGCGACAGGGGCCGGCCTCGCAGGCCCGAGAATCATGCGACAAGCCTGTGCCTGAACATCAAGTCGCGCCAACCGGATCTCAGCTTCAGCAGCAAAGTCTGGCTCTCACATAGACATGACTGCCATGAGAAACTCAGCTACACAGATGTTATGCTGTTTCCCGGTCTGCCGCATGCAAGCAGCCACTGCACCCGTCGTGGAGTGAGAAGGTATCCGGAAGTATTACGGAATGCATGAATGAAGTGCTGAAACGGCGCAAAGAATTAAGACACAAGAGGTGTGTCGGTGGACAAGCAAGTACATGTAAGGTTTTAAGGAAATTGGTATGCTGAATTATGCATGCATGTGCAGGCAGGGTTTAAGTAGGTGTTAAGTCTGTTAAGTCTGCCGGTAGACAGGGAAGCTAGCGGGTAGCATACTGAGACATACTGTTGCTAAATAAACCTGAATATGCACACACAGCAAGCCGCACACGGACGCGCTTGCACAGGTCGATGCTGAATGACATTTCGGCATCTACAGGTTGCACGTGTATAAAAGGAAAGACGAAGGTACGTGTTTGTGTAAATGTTGCCCTATACTCACACTGATACTTGTAGCCACATACATGTTTCACGATCTTTGTGGTGCACTTCAGTTGCGCAGCATACATATGCATGAAGCATGCAATCACTCGATCATCGCCTTTTTCAACAAGCATGAAAAAGCAGCTTTAAACGCAAAACATAGATATCATTCGTGCTTGTCGATGTGTTTACAAAAACATCGACGGATCCACATTTGTCATGTATCGGAGAGTGCAAAACCGCATCGCACTGCAACATTCTAAGCAGGAAAGCCAGCGCCTGGAGCGCACCATGGCAAGCCTGTTGAGAGATGTAAACAAGTAGAAATCCTGCAGCGCTGCCTGCTGTACCATACACACGAGCCCTTGCCTGAAAACATCCCGAGTCTGTGAGCAAGTCCAGTGCAAGAACTGTCGGGGCCTTTGCAGGTGGAGCAAAACTACGCGTGACTGCCTCCTGACCACACAAGCTCCTCACGTATTGAGAAGCACTCTCACCTTGCCATGCCGACGACTAGACGACTACATGTAGGTGAACACTCTGCAAAGCAATGGTCGCGATTACGTCAAGTTGCAAAGTGCGGACTCCGTGGCCTTCACCAGCGAAGCAAGAACCTGCACCAAGCATCACAGAACTGCTTCCATCCCCAGCGAGAAGGATCCTGAGACAAAGGCCTCTGTGAACTGAGATTGCCGCTGCGAGGGGGGAACTCAGTGCAGGTACAAATCAGTCTTACATCAGTAAACGTATCAGGGATCTAGAAGAAGCTACAAGAAGCTTTTTGTGGATGTGGCATGCTGATGGAAGCAGTTTGTTCGGAGCTGCTGACTGCAGCACGCAGTTGGCAAACAGGACCCACGAAGGCATGCACCCGCTGTGACTGTGCAAATCGGCTCCCGGCACCCGTAGTCGGCAATTGCCTCTGCTGGGGGCATGCACCTGCACCGAAGTAGGGTAACCCTGACAGACCCTGGAAGCAAGCAGAATTCACAGACAGTGCCACGCAGCACGTGAGAACATCTGGCTCGAGATGTGAATCATCAATCTCCTCGAACACGACCGGACGGAAGCCCGTACAGCTGGAAATTCACAGCGCGGCGTCTCAATCATTCACGGTGTCCTCCACAACTTGCAGAGCAATCAGGGGTCTTTCCGATGCCGCCGTGACCTTCAATTCTGACCACTTGCAGTCCGACAAACTCACCTAACTGAACCAAATGCAATAAGCCCATGACTGCTGCATTGTAAACCTTGATGTTCAACCTTAGCTGAGTGAGCCACTGCAAGGATCAAGCGCTTCCACGATCGGATGCATCAGACTGCTGAGAAAGATGCTCCACACGCCGCTGCTGCAAATCCTTGAGCAACTGCAGGGCAGGTTGCCACTCCCTGGCCTTACGGCTTCGAGCACGTCTACGATCCGCTGAGGGTGCGCAATCTTGTCGCGAGGTGAGCTCGCAGCTTCTGCACATGCAGCGATCACAGAGCTTCCTGTCAGGACCTCACAAATCTCTTAGATGAGAAACATGTCTCAGCATCTTATGTCCCGTCTGCCACGGTTGAGTTCGCAGCATCAACTGACAGATGCAGCGCTGCTTCTGAGAAGAGCTGCACCTCATAAGACAGGTGCCAAAGCCCTAAGAGCCAGCATGAAGCAGCTCAGACAAGATGCCGCCATTTGCCATGCATTGCGTCCGTCTGCTGCGCATGCGCTGATCACCTCGCCACACGCATTGTCTCTGTCCTCCGACCCCGACGTGCGTCCACTTCGAGCAGCTCGGGCAGCGTGCAGCGTTGTAGGGCGTCATGTCAGGCCTCCGCTAAAGCGGGGTTGGCATCACTGAATCAAGGCCCTCCCTGCTCATGCTCCGGTTAAGACTGACTTACACGATCAAGGACGGCGACAAGGCGAAAGCGACTTAAACCCCAGGTGTCAGCCTGAACCGCTGCAGGGCCATGCGGAGCAGCTGCAAAGCTTCTTGCCATTTGCGTCCTGACATCGACTAACCCCTTCCTGCCAGATCACCGCCTACGCGTGATAGCCGGCCTTTTTCGCAGGCACTGATGGCCGCACTGAAGATGACAAGGTCCTAACGTGCAGGCAAGTCGAGCGAAGACTGCTGCACTGAATTGGGAAGCCGACTGTGCGGGACCGTTCTTCCAGCATCGTGCTCAAAACGGACAGGGCCTTTTCACCAATCGCACCCACTACGGCTCGCTGGCAGAAGCTCGGAACATTCAAAGTGAGGCCTGCTGCCAACGACCGCTTTTCTCGCAACTGAAGCGTTCAAGTCACATGCTCGACTGACCTCTGTTCCGATTCTGCGTCCCGCACGCACTGATGGCTGCGCTGCAGGCTATCGTGTCAGGAACGAGGTGGTACCTGACTCAGAACAGACGAGCAGATACAAGCGAAGCAGTCGATGCAGATGTGCCTCTGCAATTGGCCCAGTAAAGCCAGAGCCTCGGTAGCAGAACTCTCGCAACAGCGCACGGATCTCAATCCAGGGCCCCCGCACGCTCCCACTGCCGACACTTTTCACAGGCGCTGATGGCCCCGCCTTGTGATCTGGTCAGCTCAGACCGCGCGCGTCTGTTAGATCCCCTCGATAGTAATTTGGGCATGACACTGAAGGAGACAGTGTCCGCTGGAACTCCAACAGCCATCAGGGCATCCAGGACTGCCAAGGCCTGTGGCACTGAGGAGAGCTTCCTTGAAGAGGAGTCAAAGCAGTCAATGCAAGGGTTCCGCCTGCACCCACTGCTGGCCTTTCTCGCAGGCTGTGATGGCGGCGTTGAAGCAAAGAGTGTTCAAAGAGAAGATCGAATCCTCTTGCCAAGGCTTGCGGCAAATTGGGGCTTTGATCTGCTATAAGCAACTCCTGTAGAACAGAAAGGGCTTCCGCCCACTTGCTGCTGCGTCCCAGGCTGGTGATAAGAACCTCAGCACTGCAAAGGGAATTGCGCGGAGTCGGGGGCATCCATGAGGCCGAGGCACCCCTCAGTTGCGCATCAGGCTCCAGACCGCGATCCATCAAGACCTCTCCGCGGCACCAGCACGTGCTAACAGTACACCTTCAGTCGTTTGCTTTAAATTGCGAAACTTTCTGTGGTCGTGCAAGCTAACCAAAGGTGAGACTGGCCAAATGACGCGCTCCGTCGTCTCGGCATGCGTTAGCACGAGGCTCTCAGTCTTCAAACTCCCTGCTCGAGAAGACATGAAACCTGCACAAGATCTGCGTGTTCTTGACAAGTGCTGCATGACACGCTGATACTACCAGTTGCGGCATACGGGACCTGGAGCTTCTCGTTCGAAGGGATTCTGTGGACCTGGCCCTCTTTGTCTGGCCGGCTGAACTTTGGCTGAACCAGCTTCGGGCCTGAGCCAGGTCACACTTCATTTTCTAGGGTTAGTGGCGCCAGGTGCATGTGTTCATAGGGCGTGATCTCACTTCTGCCAGGGCCGACGGCCGTGAATCCTCAGTTGCTGAGCCGTTCGCTTTTCCAAGCGTCCCTGAACTTGCAGGGACGGGAAAATCCATCTCGACTTCGCCTGGCGGTATAAGAAGCCGACTTTCGAACGGTAGAACGGTCCCGTTGCCTCTCTCCAAAGGAGGACGTGACGCATCGAGAGCCATCTGCGAAACGAGCATCTCTTGTTCCCGGGCGACCGCCCTGAACAGCCAATGGTCAAAAGCGCATCAGCCGCAATGCTTTGCAGACTGGCCTCGCTCGCCGGTCTTCGGCGACAGTGCTCGGAGGCCCTGGTGCAAAGCCGCTCGACCCTGACGGACGCACGGTCGATCGTCCGAACCACCTTCCGACAGTCTGCCGCTTGTCATGTTGGGCGCCATGCGAGCATCTGAGGTCGTGGCCCAGTTGGTTTGGGTTTTGGACATGGTGCCTATCACAAGTGCAAAGTTGCCTCTTCCCAATGCAAGAACAAGCTTGGAGCTGCAGATGACCAAAGCCTGCGCCCGGAGTTCATCCAGCTGCGCACGCCTGGATTCAGGAAACCACTCTGCCCTGTTCCGTGTGGGAACACAGATGCAACAGTCTGCTTGGTTTGATGCAGGGTCCGCCCTTTCGACACCTGTTCGACACAGGTGGCTCGGGCTCTTGAGCTCATCGGCTCACCGGAAGCACGGGATGCTGCTGCCTGCTTCGCAGCCTGCATGAGGCCGGGATCAGGAGCTTCGGCGGCATCCTCGTCCTGACAGTGTGCGTGTGTGTGCCGCATAGGGCATGGGGCATCGTGTATGAATTAGCATGACTGAGCTTGTTCCTGGTGCCATTGCTCCTGAGTGCGCACCGACACCTGCGATGGCGGCTCAATGGGCCACATATGCACATAGAAAAAATGTGTCATGTTTGCTGGAATTAGGAGTTAAGTGAAGAGCAAGCTCTGCGTCAGCATCCTTGTCGACTTCTTCATCCAACCTTCGTGCTCGTTGAATGTCTTCTCAGGTCAGCGCGGCTTGTGGTGACGACTTTCTGAGGCAAGAGCTCCTGCTCTTCTCTCTTGCCCCCGATCCAAAGATCTTTGCCTTGGTTTAGCGACTGCGCTGCAAGTGAAACTTGATGCCAACCAGAACAAAGCCAACGCATCAAGTCCTGACTGAGGGCCTCACTCAGCCCGGGATAGCTTGAGAGAGGAGGGGCAAGCCCACTGGGTGCCCACTCTCCTTCGGCTCAAGGCTCCCACACTTCAGTGAAAACCACAGCCCATGCGTGTTCTCATAGGCTGTTGATCTTCATTCCGTTGCCACTGCTTCAACCCCGTCAGTCCTAACCCCCACGACGCTGAGCTCTCGCGTTCCTGGTAACGACGCCGGCTTGGCTCGACTGGCATGCGATGCAGCAGTTATGCTGTGGCTCCAGCTTCCTGGGGTGACATCGGCTCCTGGCTGTCGCTCCGCTTCTTGGACGAACCTTATGTGGCACGAGAAGTCGTCCAACATCTTCCTTCTGTTTCGGATACTAGGGACATTGCTGGAGTGCTGTGGAAGTCGCTGCCTCTAAATGCAACAGGAACCTAACGTCGCTTCTCGCTTTCAAGGGGGGCACCATCCAGGTCCGCGCGGTCGATCCTCCGGGCGATGCTCCGACCTCGCAGGCTGGTGCCTTGATGTGCCTTGTGCTCCCCACGCCCCCAACTCTCAACGCCTCGACTCTTCACTCGGTCCCAGTTCGCGCGGCCCGTCCCGAGGCCTAGACAGTGTCTCTGACTCTGCTCAGCGGCTTTACCCCATTCAGGGTGATCTGACTTTGTTCGTTTCAAAGGTGAATTGTGCATCGAGAGACCGTAGTCCAGTGCTCTGGAAGGGGCACCTCGACGGTTCTTCGGCAGCTTCTGGGACTCGAACCTGTCAGATCAGGTCTCCGTACCCGGTACCGGCAACCACAGAACCCCGACTTGCTGCCTTCTGGCCCCGAATCGGGATGCTCTTACGCACAGCGAAAAGGCCTGCAGTAGGCTGAGAGCTGCATTTGCAGCACGTGGCACTTGCGTTCGCGTCAACTCCGCAACGTCGCAACCTGCAAAAGGATCGCCCGAATTGCTTGGCCCGGCCTAAGTCAACGGTGGCCTGTTCGTCGCCGTAGTTTCACTAACACTGAGACAGGAAGGCGAGCTCAGGGCCACAGTTTTCCACTGGCTGCCGTCACCTGTCACACTCGAGAGCAACCATATGACAGCAGGTTGTCCAGGTGGATCAACAGAGGCTTTGACCCCTGCGACCGAGACTTTGTTGCTGATTCATGCTAGATTCCCAGCGAATCGAAAGGAATTCAGACCCAAGAAGGCAACTCCTGTCTCAACTGTGGGATAAAGTACACACGCTTGCAAAGACGGCGATTGAGACAGCGGCTTGCCTCCGACGTGCCAACAGCTGCGACAATGGCAACTTTTGGATTCGGGCTTCGAAGTGCTCCAACCATGATAAAGCTCCAAGATGGTGGTTGCAAAATCTCCAAAATGTCAAAAGTATTCGGGCCTTGAGCTGGTTGCAGCCACGGAAAATGCACATTGCAAAACGAATTGCAAAAAGCATATCAGGAGAGCGAATTTGAGGCTATCTGCAATAAAGCCTCAAGTTTCAAGATTGTCGATGTTCAATTCCACTCACCTCCGATTTCGGCAATCCAATATCTGCTGCTGCTACTAACACTGTACTACTACTACTACTACTACTACTACTACTACTACTACTACTACTACTACTACTACTACTACTACTACTACTACTACTACTACTACTACTACTACTACTACTACTACTACTAGGACGACGACGACGAGAATTTACTGCCCCTGTTACTGAGTTAAGTCACCAACAGGCAGCGGTTTGCAACCGCCCGTATTTATAGTTCCTGCCATCCCCATCAACACCCGGGGCAGGCACTGGATTGCACCAGGGATTCTGGTCCTCTTCCGGCCAGATGCCTTACCAGCTGACACGTCTACACGCATGCCTCGGAAAGAGTCAGAGCTGGTCTTGCAGCCTGGCCTGATGGCAGTGCCACAGCGCTGCAGCCTGCAAGAAGCAGCGAGAAGAAAGCACTCTCCTGCAAATGGCACGATAGGCTCTGAGATGCTCTCAGGATGCGGCTGCAGTTCGGCCGGCCCAGTGGCAGACTGCAAGGCGTCTGCCGCTGAAATGGCACCAGTTGAAAAGACCTTCAGACGTCCGATCCGATAAGGGACCCGACTGTCCGAGGAGCTACAGACTTGAGGCGATGGCTGTTGAGATGTTCGATGGGTCGCTGCCTGGCTGTCTGCGCGAGCAACAGCGGCCAAATTTCGGTGCTGAGTCTGAGGCAAATGTTGACCAGCATGCCACCAGCAGCCAACCGGACTTCCTCTGCACCCGATGTATGCAACATTGCGGTGCTCGGATCGCTCAGTATCATTCGGGAAAGCTTTGCACTCCAGACGCCAAGGCGCGGGGCTTTCCTGGCAAGAGCAGCAAGTTCGCACAGCCTTGCAGCATGTGGCCATAGGTTCGCAGACAAACGCAAGCAACAATTTGTCGTCGTCAAACTGAAACCTGCCTCACGCAGCAATTCGGCATTCAGCGTGGAGCAACACCTTTTCTTGTTCCTCGTCAAAGTCACTACATAGCACGACGCATCAAGCAGCACGCACGTCGCATGCGAAGCTGACGGCATATGGAGATGCAACACTTGGGGCCGTTCTCACTGTGGCGGGACGTCAACAAGCAGAGCAGGGTGAAGACCTGGGCCCAACGTGAGACTGCCGCCTTCTGCATCCCGGTACCCTCATGTCTCCGACCTGTCTGGTCTGCAGAGTCTGCACCTGCTCCGCCTGCTCCGACTCCCTAGGCCCTTTCTTCAAGCAGTTGTAGAGCGCCTGCGAGCACGAGCACAAAGAACTCGGAACTCGCAGGAACAGCTGCACTGAAGAACGACTAGCGGCACCTCGAAGATGCCGTGGGCTTGTCCAACTGCTTCCTCTTCGTCAGACCAAGTGCGACAACTCCCGAAGATATGGAAAAGGGCCAGAGAGATCATCAACAATGCATGGCATGCAATGCCTGCCCATCATCATCGCCCGATGCAAGGGCCGCTAGTCTCGGAACTTACCAGTTACCGGTCACACTCCGCCGCGGGGTTCGCTTGTTTGGCAGACTAGCCTGAGCGCCCAACAGCTCTAGGACGGCCAAGGACGCACCATCACCGGACCTTGGTTTGGGCCATCTCCCGGCTAGACTGCAGTCTATGGACGTCGGCATGATTGGCTTCCAAGGACGATGCAGCAAGCGGACCCAGGTTTTCATGGACCCAAACAGCAACCTCGGTCTGTCGAAGACAAGCAGCATGCTGAAATCGAGTAGGTCAGGCCGACTGGAGACACAAGAGGCAAGTGGGCTCCTTGCTCCTTTACGTGACGCGACGAGCCAGCCAGGATTTGCAATACGGCGCACACTTCCCGAAGGAACTCGCTGTCTCCGGGGTCCATCGCCTTCAAGGCCATCTCAGCAACGCCTTCCCGCGTCAGGATGCGAGCCAGCCCGCCACCCGGCAGTGCAATGGCTCCCGCGCTGTCTTGCACACGGAAGGAGTCTGGGCTTCGGAGATGTTGGAGGAGAACCGAGAAACCATTCCTCTGCAAGACTCGGCATGATGGGAAGCTCCGAATCGCAGATACTATGTGCTCCGCCTCAATGCTGCTGATTTTCATGGGCTTCGCACCCGAAGACTGCAGCAGGCCATGCGAAATTCGCAGGCACTCCATGCCAAAAGTGCACACGTCAACACTGTCTACGTGTCGGTGCAGTGCAGCAAGGGACCATGCAAAGACCTCCTGCACAAAGTCCGGCTGAGGATGCTGAGGCTCAGTGACTCCGCTCATTCTCGCCGCTAAAACACGCAAGGATGCCGAGACCACGCGCTCGCTGACACCGACACCGGCACAAAGAAGCTCCAAGGTTGCCTCTTCTGAAGCATTGGGTAAGGCTCGCATGACGTACCGAACGGCTTCTTGCACCTCTCCCTCCAGAAATGGTGAAGGGGCATTCTTTGCACTCTGCTTCCGGGTCCATCGCTCGCGATTTCGAAGAATTCCTTTGAAGCTAATCTTCGGCAAATCTGAGGGCTGCGACTCCCGCATCCTCTCCAGCGCGGCCTGCCAGGCTTCATCAGAAAAGCAGCTTTGTGCTTCCACAGATCCGCTGTCAGACAGGTCCGACATCACGTCGTCAGACATCGTCTTCGTGGCGCTCGTGCCGTGTGCGCCAACAGCCTGGGACGAGCTGGCCATCTTGACCGACTGAATAGCTTGCACCAGTTCGTCGGCGCATGCTTCGTGACCCTTCCCATAATATCTCACGGCATGTGAAGGGAAGAGCTCCGGGAAGCTGTCTTGCCATGCCTGCATGTCAAAGGGGAGTGACGAATCATAAAGAAGTATGATGGGCTTGGAGTGCTGCGCGGCCCAAACAACTTCGCTTGCCAGCTGTGTCTCGGTCTGGACGGCAACTGCAACCGCGACAGCTGCTACACAGCTGGCCACCTCAAGTGCATCTCTCAGGAGTCTTCGCCGGCCTTTGTCAAGTGCCGCAGACCCTGACAAACCATGTTTGTAGAAAAAGCGCAGGCCGCTCCTGTTACAAACGTTGCACATCCAGGAAGCCAAGAAATCTGCGTTTGCATCCTCTATACTGTGGGATCGACTTATCATTACATCGATGTTGCCTTTGCTTTCCGCTGCTGGGTGCTTCCAGGAGAAATGGGCACACCCCATGCATTCGTGTCACGCGCTGCGTGCCCAGGAACGAGACTGCGCAGCTCACCATGACATGTCCATCAGTTCACAGACTGGGGTTTCAATTAGTTTAAGGCTAAGGTCTGACTTCAGTTTCTGCCGTGAACCACGTGATTCAATCACGGCTTTCAATGCTTTGTGGCCAGGCTATATAAGTGGATTTGCCTCTCTACCTGCATGAGCCGAAAGACTTCACGAACGGCATAAGATCCTGGGACAGTGATATTATGTCAAACTGTAAACTGGCACAGTTGCGGCATCAGAGCTGCCTGGTAGAGGTGCAAACTCCTGCGGAAAACTTGGGTCAGCTTGGGTCCCGGTGAGCACTGGGCAGTCTTGTCCTTGTCCATTGTAGGGACCCAGTGCAAACCCGAATCAGTGCCTCTGAGCCGCATGCGAACAGGTAGAGCAGCTGTGCGAACGTCTTTGCAAATAAGGTCCCGCACAGTCACGTGAGCTGCTGACAAAGGCAGACCTGCAGATCAGGGGCATGCGTGGAGTGGGATCCCCAAGGCGCAAGGAAGGAAATGCCTCGCTGGACAAGCTCATCTAGCAGCGATAAACCAGTGATCCATGATTTCACCTGCACAACACGAAGCCTCGTCGAAGTCACCCAAGATAGGTCCGAGCTGAGGCTAAAGCGGAGTTGATCGCTGTCCCGAAGCTAATCTCGTTAGCCTGGAGACCTGCGGAGTGATGACGGGAGGCGCCATGAGTTGCGAATATCGCGGAGAGCCCATCAAAAGCCTTCCTGAAGCAATGCGCCAAGGAGGCTAAGCGCCTTGGAGAGCAAGAGCCACAGAGGAAATTTTGCGGTTCCACAAGCTTGAAAGCCAGCCTGAGGCCATGCATCGGCTCGCCCGACTGCATTGATGGCAACTGTGTACTCCTAGCCGGGGTCTTACGGTTCTGAACAACCTAGACTACCTGGACCTGGACACTGCACATCGGCCCATCCCACCTTGGCATCAGTTAGAAAACCGTTCTGCCTGCAGTACCACACTCTGAAAATCAAGCCATGACATCATGACATCTTCCGCACTCAGTGCGCACCTCAGTCGCTCCACCACCTGCAGTTTCTGCGATTTCCCGGAAGCTTTCAGCCTCAGCCAAAGTCGGACTATGAAACGAAAGCCGCTGAACCCAGCACAGTCTTGGCCCGATGCTGTTGGAACAACAGCAACTTGGACTGGGTGGCAGTGTGGCCGCCATGGTGCTGCATCCAAGGTCGAGATCACTCTTGTTATGCACTCTTGCGTGAGAGGTCTGCAGTGAGAGAATGTGAAGGTTGCATGATTCCGGGCATGAGCCCTCGGGGGGGGGGGGGGGGAGTTGGCCATTGAACTCCCATCCGCACATGATAGGTTGACACATCTCATGCGTAAACCCAGAGTCAAACACGAATGCCATCCCGAACAGGTCAGGTCAGCTTCGCGACTCAAGCAGGGCTGGAAAAGATTCAAGATTTCGGCGGTTCGGATTTCGGCTGCGTCATGTTTTAAGGGTGTTGAACACAATATGTCGATTTGTAGGGTTGAGGGTTTGAGTAGGGGTTTAGGGGTTAGGATGCCATGGTTTAGGGTGTGGTATCTAACTAACCAGGTCATCACGGTTTAGGGTTGAGAGTTAAGGCTTTCGAGGGGTTCTATGGTTACCTGCACGCAGCCTGCACGGGCTCTGTGCTTTTTAACACGATCCTACCGCTGCACTGTCCTTGTAGTGAAACCTCTGCAAATGAATTAAGCTCACTTACACTGTGCTTTTCTGACTGCATACCCGTGTTGCCGCCTTGCACGGCGCAACTTCATCGGCTGCACGCTTCATTTCAGTAGGTTCACGAAGTCCGCGAAGTTGACCCGACCATCCTGGACAGACTCTGTACGTGGGCCAAGAATGCCAAGGAGGAAAACAGAAATCTTGCAAGTCCTGCCGGCTGCTGCAACTCACCGCTTTCTCGTGCATCTCTGACAGCATGAACAAACGCGAATTGAACGACTGGCATCTCAATTGAGAGGGCCCTTTCTGCAGCCTTTCAGTGTTTGACAGGCCAAGCACGGCACAACACCCAAGACGAAACCATGATTCTGACAGCGCTGTGGGTTGCCACAAGCCTCCGAAAGCATAGAGAGTTACATATCGGTGAAAGCAGTGATGTCGGTGAAACAGCACACGGCTCAGACATGTTTATGCAGGCTGCGCCTGCCATTGGTCAATCACAAGGTGTTCCAGCTGTTCCAGTTTGACGAGCAGTTCAAGAAATTTGACTTTTTCTCCTGCGTTCATGCTGCAGCGCTCTGCAACATACTCTGCCACGGTTCAGCCGTCACTTCTTCTGTCTAACCAGGTAGATGCCTCTGCGGGAAATATATCATGCTCAGTCCCTGCCGACCCATAGCGGAAGCCGAGTTCAGCGCCAAAGTCATGCTTCAACCTCATGTAGTTGATGACTGTGCAAGTCTTCACAAGAAGAGATGAACAGACGGCATCTCTCCAAGACAGACCCACAACAAAATCAAACTAGCGGAAGCTAGCAGCTGTGGGTCGTGTGCACTTCCACCATGCATCCCAGTCACAAGTTCATGCGCAGGATGAGAGCGTGCGTACTGTCCTGAGTCCAATGTGCAAGGCACCTCACCTGACACGTACGCCTTCACTCTTCGGAACGTTTGTACTGCACATATACTGGAAGCTGAAAGTGGGCTCGCGACCAGAAAGTCATTGCTGACACGCAGGGCATTGTTGTACCTTCAAGACGCATTCAGCCAACAGACGCGAACGTAATTTACGTGAGGCGGTGCACGTTGAGCGTCTTTGGTCTGCGTGGCTCGCATGAAGGATCTTCCTCGTGCACTTGCCGAGCTTAAGCGAGGCTAGCAGCTACCAGCACAATCCCTGGCGCATGCGACTGTCCTTTGCGAATCGATCTTCGCATCCAGCTGACGCTGCCCGATGAGTTTCGCAACCTGGGGCAACTCAACCGAGCGAGATTGTGACGAAACCCTGCACCCAGAGCCCGACCTCCCTCTGCATTGACTCCACATCGGTATTGAAGGCTTCCGCCATGCGGTGGAGAGACACAGACAGGAAGGGGGCGAAGTACTGAACAATACCTCTGCTATGCAGGCTATGCATGCACCTCCTTCACTTCTGCAGAAGCATACCAGGGATGCCTTTGCTCCGGATCTGTTCACAAAGGTTGGCCTCGCGAAAAAGCTTCGATATGATATGTTTGGCTCAGACACGCAGCTTCTTCCGCTACACATGGCATAGGCTCGTCTCAGTCTTCCACCACTTGGCCACTGAGGTGCACATCCAGCGACAGTGGCTCCTAGTGTGATTGAAACACGTTGCCGCAGCGCTCCTTCGCAACAAAAGTCCTTCAAGCGGTCGAGAGAAGCCAAGCAAGCTGCATACCTACATGTCACGTCTGAGGTCTGAACCCAAAATGCTGCTACAAAGCTTTGTTCTTTCCGAGTTCTGTCAGCCTTGCCCTGTGCAGGAAGTTGCGTTCAGCATGGTAGAACTGTCGTGAATGCAAGTCTTCCACAAACAACTTTGCTTAGGACTGACAAAAAGCCCAAAAGGGCATACTTTCCTGTCTCGCTCTAGCCTCCTGGTTTTCCCCTGCACCAACCTGCAGCTGCAGAAGTCGATGGCCAGATCACGGAGCTGCCTCAGCGGGCCGACAGCTGGCGGTGCAGAAGCTCCACTCACTCACTGGCTTTCCAGGCGATCACACATACGGCCCTGAGTGCGAGTGGATGCGACTCGATGAGTTCCACAGCTCAAGCGTCACACCCGTGTCTCTCCCTCCCTCCCATCTCAGAGCTCAACGGGGCCATGTCCAGGCATTCTCGGAAGGTCGGCGAATCCAGGAGTTTGCTTTGCACCTTTTTGCAACGACGCGGCTCTGCCCGTGCGACGGAGGCCAGTGGGCAGCGGGCCTCTGCCCGATCCAGTGAGCCCAGGCCACAAAGCACTCCGTACAAAGCCACCTCAAGAGTTCAAGGGAAACCCACACTGCAGCTTGCATGCCAAGACTTCAGAGCGCTCTGCATCTTGAGGGCTGAGAATGTCTGAGAAGGAACTGCCCAGATCCTGCGTTGTGCAGCAGTGCAGCACACGGTGTATGGACGTTCTGATATCTCTGGTCATGACTGCTATCTTCTGGTCGTTTTGGCATAACCCTTGTACGGTACTTGTTCCATGCAGGTTGCATTCAAAAAAGGCCAAGCTAGGACTCGGAGGTGCTAGCCAACCTAAGCGATGGAGGCAAGCACCAATTGCAAAGGTTGGGCGCTGATGCTTCGCACATGTCACATCTTCAAAAAGTGCAAGAAAGTTTCGCCAGCTAGATGCCGTCAATGTGGGTGATAGCTGATAGGATCGACAGCCAGGCGCGCAGCCGGTCTGACCCCATGAAAGCGCGGCGCCTCCTCGCCCCTACTGTAGTGGGGCCCTGGGGCGTGCGTGCAGTGACGGCAAGAGCGAATGCGACCCTGACTCCGCTCTGGCCAACTTTCTGCAACGAATCCGTTTCAAGCGGCACCTCAAACAAAAAAGCCTTTGCAAAGCAAGAGACGAACAGTCGGATGTTGCTACAAGTCGCTACGCTTGCCGATGTTATTCGCAAGTAATTTCTGAGCGTCTCCTTCCTCGAACGATCACCAACGTCTCCTTCCTCAGACCTGCACACATGAGCCTGTCGAAGTGCCGATCTGCTGTTTGTGCTGCACCCCTGGAGTTGATGCAACTGTCAATCCGAAATCTCCCGTTAACCACTGGGATTCTGGAAGCGCAGATGCTGCAGTCGTGCCACTTGCAATACGTGTCCTGCGGCTTCACCTGCGAGAAGCTCGTGGCGGCATCTTTGTACTTGCCAGTTGTCATGTTGTACCTTGCAAGAGCAGTTCGGCGACCTTGGGGCCTGGCACACTCATGTGGAGACGGGCCGAGAGCAGCACAGACCATATGATGCAAAAATTCTTGATTGGCTGGCTTCATCCTGTCACCGAAAGTGGTGTTTCGCAGGCTGTTTCCATCTGCATCCGAGAGCAGCTGCCTTGAATGGAGTGTGGTGGGCTTTGCTGGTGAAATTCTGAATATCAGAATACTGACGCCTAAGTCAAGGCTCTGTTCACGGGAAGGCTGGCAAGACTTGCAAGAGTCTTGTCTTGGGTCCTTGCTGCAAAGCTCGCAATCTGATGATGGTCATACAAGTCGCGAACACGGCCTGCACTGTCGGACGGATCTCAGATCCCTGGGCGAATCGAAATTACACAAAGTCACGCGTGCTTGCCGCGGTTATGGGATGCGGTCGTGTCAACAAGGCTGCCTGAGGTTCTGTGCAGAACTCACGGCTCCTCGCCAAGTATTTCTCAGCCTCAGTTTCAGGCCGTCGCTCAACCCACTGATACGGCAAATGCTTGGCCGCGGCGGTCGGGTAGTCGCCCTGTTCGAGGCACAGGTTGGTGAGCTGATGGTAGCACCTTGGTCAGCATGCTTAGGTACGAAAACGGGCACGCAAAGTCAAAGGCTGTGACTGTCGGATGTTCTCCTTCATTTGAGACGCTTTGGCCTCCCCGCAGGTTTCGGAGCTAGTCACTGCTTCAGCTTTCAACAGCATTGCAGCATGCAACCAACCATGTGCACCTGATTTAGGTCCTGCTCGTAGAGGTCCTGCGGCAGACGGGCCAAACAGGCCTCTGCAAGTCCTGCTTGATCCAGCTCTCCTTGAGGATTCCGTTCTGCTTCTGCGTGGCTTCTACCTGCCGCGTGAAACAGACCATGGCTGGGCTGATCTTGTCTGAAGCCTAAGCCGGAGGCACCCACACTTGGTCATAGGGTGGCACCGCTGACTCGTTCCCTTCCAACAGCTCCTGGGCATGCGAGTTGAACTGCGGGGCATCACAGCAAGTAGCACAGGGCACCAGCAATCACATGAGTCCTTGAGCCCATTATGCACCTCCGTATACCTTGAGACGTTTTCGTACTTCCATTTCAATTGCAACTACAATGGCACAAGCAGCACACACACTTGACACATCGTGTCGCAGGTCTGATCTGTCGATGCAAACTGTCAGGAAAAGTCAGCAACTCGAAGCAAGCCCTAGCAACCATGCAGCAAACTCGACAGTGGCAAACGTGAAGCTGTCCCTCTAGTGTTGGTTACTCCAGTGCCTCAGGGGGCCCACTGGCTAATCCGAAAGCAGGTACACAGTGGTGATCAGCCACTGCATCCACTCCAGTGATTTGGCTTCGTTGGGCAAGGCTGATCACTGGAGCCCTTGCCCCCCTGCTCAATCGAGTCAGATTTACCTACCCTTCGAAACAGGGATGGACACACACAGGCCCGACCGGGCTCATTGCATCTGTTCAATCGCTTGCACAGCACTTGCAGGACAGTGCGCACTCACCTTGCAATGTAGACAGTGTTTGCGCGCTGCTTTTTCACTGAATTTCATGAGAAAGTCTTATGCTCAAGAGACCTAGGAAAGTGGGCTACGAAACTTCAGGAAGCGCAGTCTATGCACTAAGTGCAATTCAACTTCTGCTTCTTCCGCATCAGCATCGAAGTACATGCAACACTGAGTTGCAGTTTGGTACGCAACGTTGGCCAGTGACACAATACTCACTCGCAAACGCTCCTGTACTAGGTCTACGACAGCTCTCATCCACCTTTTTGACGGGCTGCTCAACATGGTGCAAGCCACGGCATTGATTTGTGCAAAACGGATGGTGGTATGCAAAGACTGAAAGCCCATGGTCCACTCAACCGAGGAGGACAGCCGAAACTCCTGTATCCCACGTCGCAGGAAAGTGTACGCCACCATGGTGTCGGTTATGGGTTGTGCCTCTTCTGGGTCATCATTTGGATCGAGACGGGTAATGAATGTGATTCTGGTTCTGATCGGCAACACGTACATCAAGATGTTCTCGATCACGTCAGAAGCAGCCCAATCCATGATGTTGGGGGTCTACACAATTTTCCGAGTGCTTGAAACAAAACTCTGTTGCATGTCTGATGAAAGCAGCTCACAACAGCTCAGCACTTGCACGTCTCTGACATGTTACTCTGCACATTTCTTGCACTGCACTTGCACAAACCTCGCACACCCTTGCATATCACTTGCAATCCGCTTGCACATCACTTGCAATCCGCTTGCACGTCCCTTGCTCGTCACTGCTCTTGACTTGACACAGAGGTGGTCTCTTTTTATACCGTCACAACGAAATCGACTGGTTCAAGGGTTTGAGCAGTCGTTACAGGTTCTGTAAACCGAAGATGACGAAAGTTTTGTACAAGCTGGAAGGTGTGCAACCTAGGCCACCAGCCGAACTTCTCCCAGAGCTGCATCGCGACAAGGTATTTGGCAACGTTGATGGAATCGTTGATTGACAACTGGATGTGAAGAGTAATAGTCTCGTGTCCGGTTGCCCGACTGCATACACGAACCCACATCCGAAAAATGTAGTCGCGGCTCGTGCTCCAAGGCAAATTGGCTTCGCGGGCCTTGCGCTTCATGTTGGGCAACCTACACAATTTCACGGGATGTCAAATGCTGCAACTCAAGACGGTTCATGCAGAAACCTGAAGATGCACAGCACTGCACACGCGCACTCTTTAGTTTCTTTCACTTTCTTTGTGCAATATCTCACTTTCGGTCAAGAACGTACTGCACAAGTTTCAAAGTGGACGAAAAACGCTTCCTAGGGCCTTGCTTTTCTTTGGCAATGCGTTGGCCATGCTGTCTCAAGAAATCGAGAATGAACTGAGCTCTGTTGTGAATGTAAAAATCGTCACCAAGCACTCTCGTGCCTTCCATTCTGCGGCGAAATTGGGTACTGGGTGCAGTACGGATCTTGATGCGCACACCGTCAGGTCCTTCATCGATCATGCGAAGTTTGCGTTTCCGCGGTGGGTCCATCTGCAACATGTTGGTGTGCTCTGCAACTGACTGCTTCGGCTTTGGGGCAGGAACTAATCGACCAGAGGACGAAGACGCAGACTGTCTGTCGATGGATGAAGACGCATTAATGCTCTCATGATCAAGATCAAAATCAGCTGAATCTGGATCACTGGCCAAAGGAACACCTGATGCCACATCTACGCGTCGATCACGTTCTTGGTCTGATGCTGCAAGGTCTGACGAAAAGTCGGAAGAATGCACGTCCGATACAGAGGCAGCATCGCTCTCGAAACTGGACACCGACATGATGAAAAGCTACTTGTATGGTCTGAATCTGTCTTGCACTACAGGGAACCTTGAGGGCATGAGGCAGGACCTTGCACATCACTTGCACGTCACTTGCACGTCCCTTGCACATCCCTTGCACGTCACTTGCACGTCCCTTGCACATCCCTTGCAACACCCTTGCAGTGACACTGGCACACAGACGCTTGTTTGCAACTGCTCACGTTTCACTCTGAGACTTCAATTTCTGCTGGAAGCGTTGGGGGCAACTCTGTTGTTTCTTGTAATTGAAGAGAATTAACACAATGAGTAGTCACAGTTTGGAGAGAATGCAAATCCGTCAGCAAGTTGCCCACCACTTCGTTGGTCTTCTGAAGTTTCTGAAACAGTTCTGTGGTGGCGGACATGACTTCCGCCACCTGAGTCTCCGTGTCCCTGATTTGTGTGGTGAGCACGTCGAGTTGGGCTTGTTGGATCTTCTGGACGGATAAGGCTTCTTCGCGAAAATGACGGAATTCACCTCTGATTGTGATCAGCTCCTGTTGTGTGTAGGAAATCCAGCGTTGAAGAGGTGCCAACGGATCGCACGCTGAGTTGCTCGACATTAGTGCAATGGAACGAGACTTGAGCAGGGTGCTGCAACACTGTTCTGGTATGCACTACAACATGAATGAAAGAGTACTCTCAGCACTGGCGTCCACTGCACATTCTTTCCTCACTTCAGCACTCGCATGCGTCACAGATACAAGTGAAATCCTGTCACATCGGGCATACTCAGCTAAGATCAGACGATTGACTGCGTCGAAATCGGCGTGATGCACGTCTTCTGGTAGGCATAGGTTTGGATCTAATCGGAGTACCTGACGTAGCTGAAGATGTAGGTGCAGCCGACGACGAAGCAGCACTGGACACCAAAGGAGGTTCAGACACACGATGCCCCAAGCTTGCTGGTGGTGCCGGGGGTGGAAAGACGGGAGCACTGGCACTGGGCGGGGGGAAAAAGGGAGGGGGAAGAGGGGGAGGGGAGGAGGGGGGAGAGGAGGAGGGCCAGAGGGGGGGAGGTGCGGAACTGGACGAAGGGTTGTCGCTCCCTGCACTCGGCGTACTCCTCGTTGCTGGCAGAGAGGGTGGAGGTGCATAGGGGTGGGATCTGGACGAACGTGATCCTGAAGCTCCGCTACTGCTATAAGGACGTTCTTCACGTAGGTTTGCTCTATCCCTCTCATCCAAACGACGCAACTCTTGCTGCAGCATTCTTTCTGTCCCGTCACGCACAAAAGCTGTCAATTGAAGTACAAGAGCTTGACGAAGTTGAGGTCGTGATACAAAGTTGAGCAATCTCACACGCGCTGAATGAGTGAGCGCTCTCAAGAACTCATCGATGCTAGGATCCGAAGGTGGCACCGTCGGCATGCTTGCTTGCACAGATGATCTCGTCTCTTAGCCAAAAGCACTGCGATGCTAACATTTGCAAATCTCTCACACATGGCGAAGTCAGATCAAGACATGTTGCATGCACGTCCGCTGTCAACTGTCAACTGATTACAGACCGCTTTTACCGTTTCATCAAAGCTTCACACAAGCGAAATGGATATCCAAGGTTCGCTAACCACCGTACAAAAGTATGAACAGCGACTTCTGCTTGGCACGTTGGCCAAGTGTACTTACGGATGAGAGAGATTCTCGACTTTGCACCTGACACCAGCAATCGTTCACTGCCTGCACTCATGGGATGTCGAACTTGCCAAAGGAACTTGGGCTGGAGATAGTAAATGGTTCGGTTTCGGACATCAATATCGAATCCCAAAAAGTGACCATCACCGACAGCTTCAAGAACAATCGGAGAACCATAAAAGGTTTCTTGGCTGAAGACTTGAAAAGGCACAGTTTTATGCACTTCGGTGGGTGCAATCACCAGTCGATTGTCCACGTATCTTGCAAGAAAAGTAGAAGGGAAACTCGAGATCTGCGGAAACATTGCTGCCCAACCGAGCTCAGTCATCACCACTGGAAGGGAAGAGAGGACAGGGCTGATTTGGTTACCTATGGACGTACCATCAACTTGCTTCCACACTCGGTTCAACGCCACAAACAAGCCGCATTCGAAGCTGAGACGAACAATGGTGACCAAGTCGAGTGGATCGATGGTCTTCCAATCGAAGTGCCGACGTATATTGGAGATCTTCCCATGAATTGAACGAAAATGTTTGCTCTTCTCGTTGATGCACACTGACAATTTGACATCAGGGTGCCTTGCGGTGAACATACGAACCAACATCTCCACTGCTTCCAGAATACGACTTTGAGGCACTGAGTTAAAGAACCCGACCAGATCGTCATTGAGCAGTTCGAGTTCAACTTCCAACGG